TTTTAATTAAAGCACGGGATTAAAAAATACGAGGATCTGTAGCAGAAAAAGTATTTTATTAGCATAAGGTAAACAGATTTACAGTTTTTTGTTGTAGTAATTTCCTGCAATTCTACTTATGCCATGTTAATATGATATCTGAGCGAGAGTGACTAACAAAACCAATGGGGGCCTCCTGGAGGTCAGGGCCCCTGGGAATGTGCCCTGTGTGCCCGGTCGGTAATTCAGCCATGATTACTACAAGTTTAGATAGCTGGCTAGACTAAGTAGAATAATTTACCAATCTAAAATTTTTTTACTGATATGGACTAATTGAGTGACTGTGAGTGAGTGACATATAGGAAGGAAAACTGCTGATGCACAACCAAGTTTAGAAATTGCACCTTGTGTATTCTACTATTCTAATTCTCAAGTAAGTTGAGACCCCGACTGAGTTCCTAATTTAAATAAAAAATCGAATTCTTAAAAATTACAACGGTCCGGACCTCGGTGTCTTCATATGTAGCTATGGCCCTGATTGCAATATGAGTGTGAAAGAGAGACGTGACAGTCAATATGGACTGTTATCACTTATTGGTCTGTAAACTGCCTCAACCTACAGCTAGTTGTTAGTCTATAATACATAATCAATAACAGTCAGACTCAGAAGCAAAGATGGTCTTCATCTCTGTCAGAAGTCAATAAAGAGCTAGTCTGGAGTGGAGGGCTAATGAGAGAGATCAATGAGTCATATCGACCAATTAGAATCAGTAGGTATATGGACCAATCAGGTTGCTTGTTCAGTGGTCCCCTCCGTTCCACTTCTTCCACCTGCTTTGGTGTTGAACAGAACCTCTCCTATCTTAAACAAATGTGCTAATGCCCCTAACTTTAACTGCATAATTACAGTCATTATACAAAGAGTATCATTACTGTGCTTTATAATCATTTAAACAATAATTATGGTGATTATGGGAATATTCTTCATGCATTATGCTGTATTGATAAGCTTTCTTCTCCTTCTCTATGAGCTAAGATTATATTTAGCTTGCATTCTGTTTGTCTATGTGTGTATCTTTTGATGGGACTGAGTGTTAATGTCACGTTCGTACATAGACGTGTCAGACCAAGGCGCAGCGTGATATACGTACATGTTTATTAAACCAAATAAACACACGACAAAACAATAAACCAACGACACGTGACGTCCAAGGTAGCGCACACACAACATACCTTACACGGAACAAGATCCCACAACTCAATAGTGCCAATAGGCTGCCTAAGTATGGGCCCCAATCAGAGACAACGAGCGACAGCTGCCTCTGATTGGGAACCACACCGGCCAACATAGAACTAAACATACTAGATCCCACATAGAAAATACTACATAACAAAGAATATACACACCCTGACTCAACATATACGAGTCCCCTGAGTCAGGGCGTGACAGTTAATGCTAGTGTGTGATTGAGTATACGCATTGGTGCAGTATGTCAGCATGTGTGTAAAAAACTATCTATTGCATGCTGACACGCCCACTCATCCTCTCTCTTTTACTCTCCCTTTCAATGTCTCGCTTTCTCCATCTCTCTCTCTTTCTCTCTCACTCCCTCCCTCTCTACTTCTCTCCCTCTCTCTCCCTCTCTCATACATAAACCCTTTCCTCCCCCTGACTCCACCTCTCTCGTTCTCCAACTCACTGTAAAACACACACACACAGGCACAGGCACTCTCTCACTCTATCCCATAGTTCCCCATCTCCAAGGGAACACAGGGATATCTCTATGGCAACAAGGAGCTTGCTCCACTAATGAACTGGTTGCCATAGTGATTCGGTTGACTGTGTGCAAACCCAGAGAATGAATAAAAGAGAGGGAGAGAGACATTTTACACCTTTGCACAGTATTCCATGCTCACTCTCTCTCTCACACACACACACACACACACACACACACACACACACACACACACCACACACACACACACACACACATAGCGAGGCAGACAGACAGACAGACAGACAGACAGACAGACAGACAGATAGACAGACAGACAGACAGAGAGACAGAGTGAGAGACACAGTCAGTGAGGGAGAGATTAAGACAGAAAGAGAGAGTTAAATACGTTAGTGAGATGTATTGAGGCGTGGAGCGTACATCCATGCATGCAGAAGCAGAAAGCTAGAGATCCAGCTGCTCTCCTGAAGGACCAATCACACAGCTGCTTCAAGGTCAGGGGAATGGCCTGCTCTACCTCAGCCTCAGCCCAGACTCACACCAGAGAAAGAGAGAGAAAGAGAGGAAGACTGTTTGATTCATGATCTATAGAAACAGATGTGGATCTGTCCATATAAGGACGTTAAGGACCTTTTCTCTCCTATGCTAACTGTGCCCATATGATACAACACAATCAAACATTCCATTCATCTCACCATACAGGAGCTCACTTGTCAGATTAGACAGTACAACCAGCCATTCATATATCCTTACTGTATAAAGCCACAGACATCACTGGTCCCTGTGGTGGACTCGCAATGTCTCCCCCTAGTGGTTCAGAATGGGAATAACAGCAGTACTGCAGCGAGGAGTGGTTCTACACTTCTGACAGACACACTAATACTGCACTGACTCATTTACCCTTCACCAAGTCTGGACTGTTAAGCTGCTGACAGTTTTCTACTTTACAGTTCAATGCTTTCCCTTTCCTCTCTTTTCTTCTTTAGTGTTTTCATCTAAACCCCAACTACTACCCCCCCTCTCTCTCCTCTCTCTCCCCCCCTCGATCTCTTCTCTATAAGCACCATCATTGAACCCCCTCTCTCCCTCTCTCTCGCCATCTCCTCTGCAGAAGTGTTTGCGGTTCAACCCGGATGCGACCGTGTGGAAGGCCAAGCAGCAGGTGCTGTGTTCTCTGACCGATTCGTTGCGGGACGTGTTGAACTACGGCCTGTTCCAACCAGCCACCGATGGCCATGACGCCAAGTTCCTGGAGGAGGAGAAGATGCTGCGAGAGTACCCACAATCCTTTGAGAAGGGTGTACCATATCTGGAGGTATATACAGCCTGGATGTAAGGTTACTCTGTAAGATTACTCTAAGGTTACTCTCATTCTGTGGGTTATACTGTAAGGTTACTCTCTGTGGGTTACTCTGTGGGCTACTCTCACTCTGTGGGTGGAAACTGTGATGTAAACCTGTACTATTTCTTTCTTTTTGTATTTTTTCATTGAGAGGAGGAGGAAGAGGAGGAGGAGGGAAGTTATGGGTAAACTAGATAAAGCATCAGTTTGCAATACATCTGCAGGCTCCATCATGTGGATCTAGGCCAAAAGCTGAGAGAATTGAGGACAAAAGGCCTTCCAGTCAGGATTAACTCTCTCTAGAGAGGGGAGAGAGAGAGAGAGCGGAGACGAGCGAGGAGAGCGAGAGAGGAGAGAGAGAGAGAGCAGAGAGAGACGAGCAGCGAGAGAGAGAGAGACGAGAGAGAGGACGAGATAGAGAGGCGAGCATCCGAGAGAGAGAGAGCGATAGCCAGCTCATTATCGCTCTCGCTCTATACGCTTCTCTCTCTCTCTATACTAGCTCTCACATCTCTCTCTCTTCTCTCTCTCTCTCTTTCTCTCTAGTTTCGCTACAAGACCAGAGTGTACAAACAGACCAATCTAGATGAGAAACAGCTGGCTAAACTGCACACTAAGGTACTGGCTGCCTGTTTCAAAGGGTGTGGCACAATGTGAATTGTGGGTGTAAGTGTGTGTATGCATGCATGCATACTTATGCATGTGTGTGTGGGTGTGTACACTCCTTGTGTGTCTGTGTATGTGTGTGAGTGCGACTGAGTCTGTCTGCAGTTACTGGCCCTTGGGGCAGTGCTCCACTGTTAGCTGTGCTGTGCTGTGTGTGGCAGACAACTCCAGTACCAGTGTGTCTACTCTGCTCTCTATGTAATGCAGCGCGGCACACTCTTAGAAAAAAGGCTTCCAAAAGGTTTGTCGGCTGTCCCCATAGGAGAACCCTTTTTGGTTCCAGGTAGAACCCTTGAACCGAAAAGGGTTCTTCAAAGGATTCTCCTATTGGGACAGCCAAATAACACTTTTAGGTTCTAGCACCTTTATTTCTAAGAGTGCAGTCCCCTCATCTCTCTCTCTCTCTCTCTCTATGCCCTCATGCCTCTCACAGGCCAGTCTGAAGAAGTTCATGGACTACATCCAAAGTGGCTCTGTGGACAAGATGGCCAAGTTCTTGGACAAAGGGCTTGACCCCAACTACCAGGACCCTGACACGGGAGGTGAGATGCTGTCAGATGCTGTCCGCTGCCAGGGTGACCTGTGACCTCTCCTCCTCAGTCAGTTAGCACCAATCAGCCATTTAGTCCATCTGTCTGTCTGTCTATTTAGTCCCTGATACCTTGACCCCCTAAGAAAACCTTCTTAGTGACTCATAACATTTGTGGGGCATATGGGCACTGTATATTTAGAATCCTAGAGATCATGTCCAAACCCTTCAGCCATACAACCTGTTATCTGGCTAGCAAACTGTCCATATCCAAGTTGAATTAGCTAACGGCCAAGATAACTGTGGGAGCTATGGCTAATGGTTGTCCTCTGTAACCTCGACCTGAAAACCCCAAACGCTCTCTCCAACTCTAAAACTCACTTACCCAAAGCTCTATCTATCTAACACTTTATTAAAGATGATTATAGTAAGCAAAGTAGACAGTTAGTTTGAGTCTCATTTAAGAGCCAGATAATATAGTGAGGTGGGAGATGGGCAGCTACTGTTAACAGTTTTGGGTGTGCTGCAACAGTCCTCTCACACAACAGAGCCTGCTATCACTGGGAGTGTGACATGCACTTCCACCTGCCAACACAGGGGGGCAGCAGAGAGCTCAACATCTGCCGCTATTAGATAAGCGTTACCAAACTACTAGACTAGAGTGACATGATGCTGGGTTGTCTGATTAAATATATGAGCCCCTCCGTCTCTCTCTCTCTCCTCTGTAGAAACCCCCCTGACATTGGCGGTGCAGTGTGAGCCGGGGGGAGGGGAGGCCATACGGGTGCTGGTGCTGGGAGGGGCTCATCTTGACTTCAGGGCCAAGGATGGACTCACACCACTACACAAGGCTGTCCGCAGCCACGGCCACACAGCCCTACTGGTAAACTCACACACACCTCCTTACACTCACATCTATGGATTAAAGGTGCATGTATGGACCCCACTGTATATAGTGTCTTGTATTGGGATACAGTCAAGATGGTCTTATAATGATATAAGTGATATATATATATTTTTGTGTCTACCTGGTGTGTCCCTATAGACGTTGCTGTCTCTGGGTGCATCTCCGGACTATAAGGACCGGCGGGGGCTGACCCCGCTCTACCACACTGTGCTGACAGGGGGCGACACCTCCTGCTGTGAGACCCTGCTCCACCACCGTGCCAAGCTGGCCGTCAGGGATGAGAACGGCTGGGATGAGACACACCAGGTAGGTGTAGGTGTAGGTGTAGGTGTAGGTGTAGGTGGAGGTGTAGGTGTAGGTGGAGGTGGAGGTGGAGGTGGAGGTGTAGGTGGAGGTGTGGAGGTGGAGGTGGAGGGAGGTGGAGGTGGAGGTGTAGTGTGGAGGTGGAGGTGGAGGGAGGTGGAGGTGTAGTGTGGAGGTGGAGGTGGAGGGAGGTGGAGGTGGAGGTGGAGGTGGAGGTGGAGGTGGAGGTGGAGGTGTAGGTGGAGGTGGAGGTGTGGAGGTGGAGGGAGGTGGAGGTGGAGGTGTAGTGTGGAGGTGGAGGTGGAGGGAGGTGGAGGTGGAGGTGTAGTGTGGAGGTGGAGGTGGAGGGAGGTGGAGGTGGAGGTGGAGGTGGAGGTGGAGGTGGAGGTGGAGGTGGAGGTGGAGGTGGAGGTGTAGGTGTGTGTGTGTTTCTGTGGGTTTTAGTGTTCAAGTGACTATGTTTGACTGTGTTTGTGTGAATATAGGTTTGTGTGTGTGTGTGTTAATGTCAGTGTGTTAATGTCATCTCTATTTCTATGTTAACCATTCATGTCATGGTTCGCCTCCCTCACCTTAATGTTAGTGTCTCTGCTGCTACTCACCCCACTGTACCCCTCTAACCCATGATGAGACCCGTCTCTCACCCCACTGTACCCCTCTAACCCATGATGAGGCCTATCTCTCACCCCCCTGTACCCTCTAACCCATGATGAGGCCCATCTCTCACCCCCGTACCCTCTAACCCATGATGAGGCCCGTCTCTCATCCTCCTCTCACTCCATAGCTCAGGTATGAAGAGGACAGCAGATAGAACCCTGGAGACACACAGGTACTGTACTAACTTCCCCTCCATTTCAACATTCTCTCCATCCTTTCATCATTATGTCTGTGTGTATTTGTGCTGTTGTCGTTGTGCCACCTATGTGTGTATCTATATGTGTATCTATGTGTGTATCTGTGTGTATCTATGTGTGTATCTGTGTGTATCTATGTGTGTATCTGTGTGTATCTATGTGTGTATCTGTGTGTATCTATGTGTGTATCTGTGTATGAGTGGCTCTGTAAGTGTGTATTCTCGCTGTTTTCTGATGTGTGTGTTGTTCCTTTTTCGCTTTCTCTCTCACCTTGGAGGTATCTTTATGACAATTTATAACCCCACTCTTTTTCTGTCTCTGTACTTCTCGCCTCCTCCCTCTACCCCATGTTGTAGACAGACCAGGGGAAAGCAGCGGAGGCGTGAGAGGAGAGGGAAGAAGCGCAGCGGAAGGAAGGGCGAGGGTGCGGGAAAAAGGAGCAAACGGGAAGAACAACGAGAAGATGCAGAGAGAAAAAGAGAGAAGAGAGAGAGAGCGAGAGAGAGAGAGAGGAGAGAGGAGATGGGAGAGAGAGCCGAGTGAGCAGAGAGAGAGAGAGCGAGAGAGTATGCTAGAGGAGGCAGAGAGTAGAGAAGAGTTACACACAACACAAACTCTATCTTCTCTACACTCTCTGCATTCCCCCCATCTCTCTCTCTCTATCTCTCCCCACCTTTCTCGCACTCTCTCCCCCCACCTCTCTCTCTCCCCACCTCTATCTCTCTCTCCCTCTCTGTGCTCACTCTTCTCTGATCCCAGGCCTGTCAGAATGGCAACGCCCAGCATCTGGAGCACCTTCTTTTTTACGGGGCAGACTCCACTTCCCAGAATGCCTCAGGAAACACTGCTTTGCACATTTGTGCTTTATACAACAAGGTAGTGATCTCTAGTAGTGTCACAATCAAACATAAAATAAAGATGATTTTGTAGTTTTGTAATCCAGCATTACAGTTATTTGCTGCTAATTGATTGACATGTATTTTGTCCATACAGGACAGCTGTGCACGAATTCTACTATACAGGGGAGCCAATAAGGACACAAAGAATAACAGTGGGCAGAACCCATTTCAGGTGATTATACAATACATGGCCTGGCTAATGGAATGATGTATTTGTATGTACGTTGCTTGCATGGGGTTGTGTGTGATGAAGTTACTAAAGCAGAAAATGCTATTGGATGAGATGGGCCAGTGTTAGTGATATTGTTCTGTGATGTGTACTAGGGTCCAAGGTGGGATAATTCTGCCTGACCCCTTAAGCTGGGTTCTCATACTCTGTCATCCCTACAAAAGGCCAGTTGAGACAAGGAATATGTGCATACCGTGTGGAGGGTGCTGTGAGAACTGTCCCTTACACTGCTAGCATGTGTGTTTCAGGTGGCTGTCATGTCCGGTCATTTTGAGCTAGGAGAGATTATCAAAAACCACCGGGACACAAATGTAGGTACGTACTGATCTGTGGTTGTGTTTAGGAGTTTATGCACTATGGACGTATATGAGAGTATGTGAGAATGGTTGTACATTCACATGTTTCTTAAAAAAAACATGCATACACATATAATATTTATTTCATTATTGTGTATGTGTGCCAATCAAACTGTGATATTTCCTGTCATGAATGAGTGCTACAAGGGAACAAAAAAAGACCAATCAAACCTTGACTTGACCCATCCTGACTAGTTTATACCTCTCTCTCTTTCTTGCTCTCTCTCCTTCTCACACTCTCTCAGTACCTTTTCTTGAGTCTCCCAAATACGCCCCTCAGAGGCGAGAGAGTGCGCCGCGGACCCTGGCACTGCCCCACCCTCACCCCTTCCTGCGTGCCAACAGTGATAACAGTATGAACCTGCCTGACTGGATGGCACTGCCCAACGCACCAGGCTCCAACATTGTGTCTGTACAGGTAGAGGAAGGAGTCTAGCACCTGGACACTTAGTCTGGGAGAACTATTGTACTGTTTCACATCATGTATCATGTAATGTAGCTATGTAGTACATCACCAATATACTGTAGTACATCACCAATATACTGTGGTACATCACCAATATACTGTGGTACATCACCAATATATTTAAGAACATCAACAATATATTTAAAAAGTAATTTTTTTAGTCATTTAGCAGACGCTCTTATCCAGAGCGACTTACAGTTAGTGAGTGCATACATTTTCATACTGGCCCCCCGTGGGAAACGAACCCACAACCCTGGCGTTGCAAGTGCCATGCTCTACCAACTGAGCTACAGGGGACAATACACTGTAGTACATCACCAATATACTGTAGTACATCACCAATATACTGTAGTACATTTTTACATTGACATTTTAGTCATTTAGCAGATGCTCTTATCCAGAGCGACTTACAGTTGCAAGGACAGAGAAGAGCTTGGACTGGGCTGAGCGGGAACTGCACTCCCGTAGGGATGGCCAAGAGACCTGAGGTGGCAGAACGGAGTGCTCGGGTTGGGGTGTAGGGTTTGAGCATAGCCTGAAGGTAGGGAGTAGCAGTTCCTCTTGCTGTTCCGTAGGCAAGCACCATGGTCTTGTAGTGGATGCGAGCTTCGACTGGATGCCAGTGGAGTGTGTGGAGGAGCGGGGTGCCGTGGGAGAACTTGGGAAAGTTGAAATCCAGGCAGGCTGCAGCGTTCTGGATAAGTTGCAGGGGTTTGATGGCACAAGCGGGGAGCCAAGCCAACTCAGAGTTGCAGTAGTCCAGACGTGAGAGGACAAGTGCCTGGATTAGGACCTGTGCCGCTTCCTGTGTAAGGTCGGGTCGTACTCTACGGATGTTGTAGAGCATGAACCTGCAGGAGCGAGTCACTGCTTTGATGTTTGCAGAGAATGACAGGGTGTTGTCCAGGGTCACGCCAAGGTTCTTTGCACTCTGGTAGGGCGACACTGTGGAGTTGTCAACCGTGATGGAGAGCGTGCAGGCCTTCCCTGGGAGGAAGAGCAGCTTCGCCTTGTCGAGGTTAAGCCTGAAGTGGTGGGCCGACATCTAAGTTGAGATATCTGCCAGGCACGCAGAAAAGCGTGTCACCACCTGGGTGTCAGAAGGGGGGAAGGAGAAAAGTAGTTGAGTGTCATCTGCATAGCAATGATAGGAGAGACCATGTGAGGATATGACGGAGCTGAGTCACTTGGTGTATAGAGAGAAGAGGAGAGGGCCTAGAACCGAGCCCTGGGGTACACCTGTAGTGAGAGTGCGTGGTGCAGACACAGATCCTCTCCACGTCACCTGGTAGGAGCGACCTGCCAGGTAGGATGCAATCCAAGAGTGTGCAGAGCCTGAGACGCCCAACCCTGAGAGGGTGGAGAGGAGGATCTGATGGTTCACGGTGTCGATGGCAGCGGATAGATCTAGGAGGATGAGAACAGAGGAGAGAGAGTCAGCTTTGGCAGTGCGGAGAGCCTCCGTGACACAGAAAAGAGCACTCTCGGTTGAGTGACCCATCTTGAAGCCTAACTGGTTAGGATCAAGAATATTGTTCTGAGAGAGATAACGAGAGAGTTGATCAGACACAGCACGCTCAAATGTTTTGTAAAGAAAAGGAAAGAAGGGATGCAGGTCTATAGTTTTTGACGTCAGATGAGTCGAGTGTTTGTTTCTTGAGGAGAGGAGCGACTCGGGCCATTTTGAAGTCTGAAGGGACGCAGCCAGTGTTACATCACCAATATACTGTAGTACATCACCAATATACTGTAGTACATCTCCAATATACTGTAGTACATCATCAGTAAACTGTTGTACAGACCATTGAACCAGTGTTGCCCCTTCATCTCTCTGTCTCTCTGTCTATGTCTAGAGAGAGGATGGGGAAGAGCGGGGCGCAGGGAGAGGACGAGGAGACGAGAGAGACGCGAGAAGAGCGAGATATGAGAGCGAGAGAGAGCGAGAGGCTCGAGCGCGAGGAGCGAGAGAGAGAGCAGAGCTAGAGAGGGCATCGATAGCTCTCTATAGAATCTATCTCTCTTATCTCTCTAGATCTATCTATCTTCTCTCTCTCTCTCTCTTCTCTCTCTCTCTCTTTCTCCTCTTCTCTCTCTCAGGGCTATAAGCATTCAGGTACCCTGCGTAGCTCCAGTAGTCCCCGTGGGGCGCGGACTCGCTCCCCGTCCCGAGGGAGAGCAGGGGATAAGGAGGACAGGAGTCGGCAGAGTCGGAGGCAGGGAGGAGGAGGAGGAGGAGGAGGAGTGGGAGGAGGAGGAGGAGGAGCAGGAGGGTAGGACTGACTATGGTTCAGATAGAACCGTTGATGCAAAGGACAAGGGCCATAGCTCCATTAGAGCATGCTATCTCTTTATCTACAGCAGTGTCAGTTGTCACTTTGCATGTCCCTCTCTGCTGTGACTCTAACAATGCACCCAATCCAAACTTGGAATCTGCATTAATAATTTGCACACAAATCTCCCATTAATGGATGGTTTTCACAGAAGTCCAAGTTAGCCATGCGGACCTCAAGTTAGGATCGGACCTACTGTGTATGAGGGTTGTGTATAGTATAAGCCTTGTTCGAGCCAGAACGGCCCATAGAGCAGGATACTATCACCTGTTTCTGTAGCGTGAAGGCGGGCACTCTAACCACAAGGCCACTGAGTTGGTTGTGTACTGTAATGTATGTGCTGTGTGCTGAACGCTGCCCCCCTCTGGCCAGGGCGGGGTCTGTCAGCAGCAGTACGGTTACGGCAGCAGGGGGCCAGCGGAGGCGTCTCTACAGCGCCGTCCCAGGACGTGTGTTTGTGGCCACGCGCTCCCACTCCGCCCAGGGAGACAGAGAGATCAGTATCAGCAAGGGAGACAAAGTCAAAGGTGTGTGTGTTTAGTGTGTCTGTGTCAGGGAATGGGTGTGTGACTGTCTGGCTGGATGTTTTTTTCATGTGAATTCAAAGTGTTTGTTAGCCTGGGTGCCAGCCTGATACATTTTGCTCAGGAGATGAAATGTTGATGCTGGTACCAAGGCTAGGTCTCTGTCTGCTGATGTGAGTGGTGTATGTATGAGTCTGTCTACTGGATGTAGTCTACCTGTCTTAATGAGAGTGTAAGGTCCTTGTATGTTTTTGTCTTCAATGTCTGCAGGTATGAATATGTGTGTGTTTGTGAGTGAGTCTAAGGTGTTTCCAGGTATGTATGTCTTGGTGAGTATGTAGAGAGGTTTGCATGTCTGTTTGTGTGTGTTTACATTCCTCTGTGTGTGTTTACATGTTGTGGCTATTTCCTTGTTCTTGTTTGTGCCTATATGTTGTTTCGTGTATACTGACTGTGTGAGGTAATGGCTCTGACGCGCGACACTCTTTCCTGTCCCCCCATGCAGTGCTGAGTGTGGGCGAGGGAGGGTTCTGGGAGGGCACGGTTAAGGGACGGACCGGCTGGTTCCCCTCAGACTGCGTAGAGGAAGTGGCAGTCCGTAGCCAGGACAACCGCTCAGGTGAGTCCCTGACCACACACCTGCAGACACACACAGCGTGCCTCTCTCTCTCTCCCCTCTCATTGGTCAGAAAAACACACACACTTACACACACAGCAGCGCTGGCTGCTACACACAGACACACAGGCATAAAAACAACACATTTAGCAGGAGGTCTACAGTTAGGTAGGAACACTGGGGAAATACCACTATAGACTCTCAGAGTGGTTAGAGAAGCAGAAGCGAGGTGTGGGTTGACAGGGAAGGAAGGTGCTACAGTAGTAGTAGTGGTGTCTGCCCACCACTAAGGCCTTAGGCTGCAGTAATAAACACAGCTATTGACTGTCTGGGAGTCTACAGCTGGTTTGACTGTGTCTGGATACTCAATAGAGAGAAGCTTACTGTAGAGGTTTAGGCTGTAGTCTAACAGGATCTAGTGACTGTAGTGATAGTGTTGGTCAGTGTTGCAGGCAGGCAGCCATCATGCTGATAACACTGTGGTTGTGTGTTTTAGAGAGCCGCAGTGAGAAAGCCAAGAGACTGTTCCGCCATTACACCGTGGGCTCCTACGACAGCTTTGACGCTCCCAGGTAAGGATGGGGCTACTTTCTCTTTCTCTACACAGTATCATACTCAGAGATCTACCTGGAAGTCATTGGATTGAGTGATCTTGGCCTGGATATGCTTGGGGTATGTTGGAGTGAGTTGGGTAGCTGTAAGATGGGCTTTGGTAGAGTGATCTACAGTGCTGTGTTGGGTTTGACTATGGGTAATATACTGTATATTAACCTGAACTGTGTTGTCTGTGTGGAAGTGATCCACTGGACTATGATTGGGTGATCTACTCTACAATGGATTGTGATTGGGTGATCTACTGTAACATGGAGCGTGATTGGGTGATCTACTGTAAGATGGATTGTGATTGGGTGATCTACTGTAACATGGAGTGTGATTGGGTGATCTACTGTAAGATGGATTGTGATTGGGTGATACAGTGAGGGAAAAAAGTATTTGATCCCCTGCTGATTTTGTACGTTTTCCCATTGACAAAGAAATTATCAGTCTATAATTTTAATGGTAGGTTTATTTGAACAGTGAGAGACAGAATAACAACAACAAAATCCAGAAAAACGCATGTCAAAAATTGTATAAATTGATTTGCATTTTAATGAGGGAAATAAGTATTTGACCCCTCTGCAAAACATGACTTAGTACTTGGTGGCAAAACCCTTGTTGGCAATCACATAGGTCAGATGTTTCTTGTAGTTGGCCACCAGGTTTGCACACAACTCAGGAGGGATTTTGTCCCACTCCTCTTTGCAGATCTTCTCCAAGTCATTAAGGTTTCGAGGCTGACGTTTGGCAACTCGAACCTTCAGCTCCCTCCACAGATTTTCTATGGGATTAAGGTCTGGAGACTGGCTAGGCCACTCCAGGACCTTAATGTGCTTCTTCTTGAGTCACTCCTTTGTTGCCTTGGCCGTGTGTTTTGGGTCATTGTCATGCTGGAATACCCATCCACGACCCATTTTCAATGCCCTGGCTGAGGGAAGGAGGTTCTCACCCAAGATTTGACGGTACATGGCCCCGTCCATCGTCCCTTTGATGCGGTGAAGTTGTCCTGTCCACTTAGCAGAAAAACACCCCCAAAGCATAATGTTTCCACCTCCATGTTTGACAGTGGGGATGGTGTTCTTGGGGTCATAGGCAGCATTCCTCCTCCTCCAAACACGGCGAGTTGAGTTGATGCCAAAGAGCTCCATTTTGGTCTCATCTGACCACAACACTTTCACCCAGTTCTCCTCTGAATCATTCAGATGTTCATTGGCAAACTTCAGACAGGCCTGTATATGTGCTTTCTTGAGCAGGGGGACCTTGCGGGCGCTGCAGGATTTCAGTCCTTCACGGCGTAGTGTGTTACCAATTGTTTTCTTGGTGACTATGGTCCCAGCTGCCTTGAGATCATTGACAAGATCCTCCCGTGTAGTTCTGGGCTGATTCCTCACCGTTCTCATGATCATTGCAACTCCACGAGGTGAGATCTTGCATGGAGCCCCAGGCCGAGAGTGTGCTCCTAATCTCAGCTCGTTACCTGTATAAAAGACACCTGGGAGCCAAAAATCTTTCTGATTGAGAGGGGGTCAAATACTTATTTCCCTCATTAAAATGCAAATCAATTTATAACATTTTTGACATGCGTTTTTCTGGATTTTTTTTGTTGTTATTCTGTTTCTCACTGTTCAAATAAACCTACCATTAAAATTATAGACTGATCATTTCTTTGTCAGTGGGCAAACCTACAAAATCAGCAGGGGATCAAATACTTTTCCCCTCCCTGTACACTGTGATGTAAGCTGGGCTGGAATTGATCTCTTATAAGTTGGACTGTGTTGGGGACTATCTGCTACTCAATGCTGGGCTGTCTACCTGAAGTTCCATACAGTACTGGTCTGATATCTGAACTCCTGTAGACTGTCATCTCTGTGTCCTCTACTGATGTGCTGGTTGACTATGTTGTTGTTGTTGTTGTTGTTGTTGACTTCCAGATTGCTGCATTGACACTTTGGAGTGTAACTCTGAAAAATGTATGCACTCACTAACTGTAAGTCGCTCTGGATAAGAGCGTCTGCTAAATGACTAAAATGTAAATGTAATTAACACCTAGTAATGTAATGTCATTCTCTTTAATGTCATGTTTTTGTGTGGTGGCTCAGAGAGGCTCTGTTATGAGGCAAACCAACTTAAGGGTCCTAGACTTGGACAGGATAAAGAGAGAATTATTTATAAAGAAATAAACACATTATAAATCACATGTATTATTTACACACAATCCTTCTCCCCTGCCCGCTCGCTATTACAGACAACACACACACAAACACAATGCGCACACCACAAAAGCATTCATTATTTACATCATTTCATTTAGACTTACGTGCTCAACCAAGCGACGGACACCTAAATGGAAACTCACACATACGTTTATACACACACATCATGGATATTTCAACAAATGTACTCATATGATATAAAACTCCAGGTTGTTTGGTCAGTCTGTGGCTGGCTGGCTGCTCACTGCTAACTCACTGCTAACCTACCTTCGTACAAGTCTGTTTTTATCAGAGCCCTAGTGTGGATCCATCTCACCTATTCCCCTGATTTTTTCCACTCCTCTATATTTGGCTTTGTCACCCCTTCCATCTCTCTTTCTCTCTATCGCTCCCTTTATTTTTATTCAGCACCGTTTTACTCACCCCCTGTACTTTTTAATTTTCTCTCTATCACCCTCTCTCCCCTGTGGTGTCTCCATCTGGAGGACAGACAGTGAAGGGCACTCTAGAGGGAGAGAGGGAGAGAGGGAGCGAGGGATGAACAGAGCAAGAAAGGAGGTGAAGAGAAGGAGAGATTCTACAGTATGTAGAAATAGACAAAGAAGAAGAGAAAATAGATAGAGAAAACAGGAAATAGACATAAATGAACAACCCCCCTTCCTCTCCCACTTTCTCCTCCTCACCTTTCATTCCACTTTTAGATGTTTTTATATTGACAGTAAAAGATCTTGTACACCTCCTAGCCTGTCTAATGAAGCAGGCTTTTACTGCTCTGACTAGCTGTGACAGTTTAACAAGGCTCGGTCGAGGGATAGCAGTCAGATAAAATGAGATGGCTTTTAAATTGATATTGGGGAAAAGAAGAGTAACACAATAACCAAACGGAAGTAGAGGCAAGACAGAGGAGAAGATGCGATAAGGGAAGAGGATGTCTTGGCACACAGTAGTATACCCTTTCACCAACTGGCGTCCCATCTTGTATCAATCAATTGCCGGGACATTTCGCATTGAATGGGAGGTATCCTAAATTATTTAAGAATTAATGTATACGTCCTTACTTAGGGAAGGAAGGTTAAGGCAAGTTAGATGAAGGAAGCGAAGCGAATGGAAGTCAGTAATTACGTAATGAAGGAAAGTGAAGTGAAGGAAGGAATGAATGAAAGTCCGGAAGGAAGGCAGGACGGCAGTCAGTCATTAATGTCAGTAATGTTTTACTTTCCGTTCTTCCTTACTCCTCCTCCTTTCCTTCCTTCTTACTAGGCTTACATACATACAAGCCTACCTCCTATGTGCTCCTCATCTCCCTGTGTCTCAGAGCCCATGGCAGTGAACTCCCCTAGTAGCACACATGACAACTTTTCTGGGGCAGCGGTCTGTGAAATAGGGACAAGGAAGCACACACACATTCTAGAGAAGAGGGTATTATTGCCCTCTATCAGAAGAGGTGCATTCAAATCACATTCTGGTGCACATTGTACATGTTTTACATTATAAGGGAACACTCATGCACACATTCACTCATACACACATGATCACACTCATGAGTCACACACACTAACAGAAACACACATGACCACATAAACATGAGTCACACATACTAACATGACCAAACACCTGCCAACATTCACTCTCTTGCCCCCTCCCCCTTGTACTCTCTCTCTCTCTCTCTGTCTCCCTCCCTCTCCCTCTCTCTCTCTCTCTCTCTCTCTCTCTCTCTCCCTCTCTCACACACACTCGCGGCCATACACTAAATTCACAGCGGTATAGCTTAACATGCAGAGAGAGAAACAAAAAGAGAGGGAGGGAAGGAGAGAGAGGAGAAGAACAGCAAGAGGCAGTGAAGGCAGAAAGGCACCAGAGAGAGGTAGGGGGAGAGAGAGGGGGAGATTGAGCGAGAGGCAGGGAGGCAGAGAGGGAGGGAGTGAAAGGCGACAGAAGACAACATCGACGTACATCGAACGAAGCACTGACAGAGATGATGTGAGTGCCTTTTTAAAGAGAATCTCTCTCGCTCTAATTCTCTCTCTTCCTTTGCTGCTCATCCCCAGCTGAATCTCTTCTTCTTCCTGTCTGTCTTGATGCATCTCCTTCCTCTCGTTTCCCTCCCTCGCTCTCCTCTTTTCATTCATGCGCTCTGCTTTGTTTACAGACAATGTGAGAAAGGAAAGAGGGGGAGAGGGGAGGGGACTGTGTGCATGTGTGTGTGTTGATTAAAGGCCATGGGGTAGTTAAGAGTGATTTAAGGGCATGTAGGGTCACTGAAGTAGAGAGGATGAAAGAGGTGGTAGGACAAAACAAGTGCAGAGATGACAAATGGGGAAATGGTAGAGACGTGAGATGGGAGGAAGACAGGTTGACAGGTGGTGAAAAGAGATGGGAATGAAGAGATAAAAACATGTGGAAAAAGAGAGAGAGAATATAGAATTCAGGTGTTGTCCATATTTGGTTTATTAAAGGTGCAATGTGCCGAGATCGCTCTGCCATTTCCTGGTTGCTAAAATTCAAATAGTTCGCCTAATTTCAGTTAATGTGACAAAACAAGCAGTGCATTGTGTAGAGAATCATTGTACCATCTAAACCGCTGTGAAATAGATTTTAAATAACCAAAAATATTGTACTTTCAGCTGCTTGTGTACAAAACCGAAAGTAAAAGACACTAAAAAAGAAACTTAAGAACGGGAAGCATACAACTAGCGCACATAGAACACATCTACACGTTTCTTAGACTTGCTTTCAATGAGAATGACAGATCAATAGCTCACATTTCTATGTGAATTTGAATCTGAGAATAATTTGATAATAGATATCTAAATACATGAATCATCTATCATAATGATCATAAATAGTCTGTATGCATATACAGTGGGGGGAAAAAGTATTTAGTCAGCCACCAATTGTGCAAGTTCTCCCACTTAAAAAGATGAGAGAGGCCTGTAATTTTCATCATAGGTACACGTCAACTATGACAGACAAATTGAGAATTTTTTTCTCCAGAAAATCACATTGTAGGATTTTTTATGAATTTATTTGCAAATTATGGTGGAAAATAAGTATTTGGTCACCTACAAACAAGCAAGATTTCTGGCTCTCACAGACCTGTAACTTCTTCTTTAAGAGGCTCCTCTGTCCTCCACTCGTTACCTGTATTAATGGCACCTGTTTGAACTTGTTATCAGTATAAAAGACACCTGTCCACAACCTCAAACAGTCACACTCCAAAGTCCACTATGGCCAAGACCAAAGAGCTGTCAAAGGACACCAGAAACAAAATTGTAGACCTGCACCAGGCTGGGAAGACTGAATCTGCAATAGGTAAGCAGCTTGGTTTGAAGAAATCAACTGTGGGAGCAATTATTAGGAAATGGAAGACATACAAGACCACTGATAATCTCCCTCGATCTGTGGCTCCACGCAAGATCTCACCCCGTGGGGTCAAAATGATCACAAGAACGGTGAGCAAAAATCCCAGAACCACACGGGGGGACCTAGTGAATGACCTGCAGAGAGCTGGGACCAAAGTAACAAAGCCTACCATCAGTAACACACTACGCCGCCAGGGACTCAAATCCTGCAGTGCCAGACGTGTCCCCCTACTTAAGCCAGTACATGTCCAGGCCCGTCTGAAGTTTGCTAGAGTGCATTTGGATGATCCAGAAGAGGATTGGGAGAATGTCATATGGTCAGATGAAACCAAAATATAACTTTTTGGTTAAAAACTCAACTCGTCGTGTTTGGAGGACAAAGAATGCTGAGTTGCATCCAAAGAACACCTTACCTACTGTGAAGCATGGGGGTGGAAACATCATGCTTTGGGGCTGTTTTTCTGCAAAGGGACCAGGACGACTGATCCGTGTAAAGGAAAGAATGAATGGGGCCATGTATCGTGAGATTTTGAGTGAAAACCTCCTTCCATCAGCAAGGGCATTGAAGATGAAACGTGGCTGGGTCTTTCAGCATGACAATGATCCCAAACACACCGCCCGGGCAACGAAGGAGTGGCTTCGTAAGAAGCATTTCAAGGTCCTGGAGTGGCCTAGCCAGTCTCCAGATTTCAACCCCATAGAAAATCTTTGGAGGGAGTTGAAAGTCTGTGTTGCCCAGCGACAGCCCCAAAACATCACTGCTCTAGAGGAGATCTGCATGGAGGAATGGGCCAAAATACCAGCAACAGTGTGTGAAAACCTTGTGAAGACTTACAGAAAACGTTTGACCTGTGTCATTGCCAACAAAGGGTATATAACAAAGTATTGAGAAACTTTTGTTATTGACCAAATACTTATTTTCCACCATAATTTGCAAATAAATTCATAAAGAATCCTACAATGTGATTTTCTGGATTTTTTTTTCTCATTTTGTCTGTCATAGTTGACGTGTACCTATGATGAATATTACAGGCCTCTCTCATCTTTTTAAGTGGGAGAACTTGCACAGTTGGTGGCTGACTAAATACTTTTTTTCCCCACTGTATGAGTTGTGAAAACATTGTGATTGTGATTACAGGATGCAAGCCTCAGCAGTTCAGAACAACAGTCAGTGCATTATACAGTATCTCCCTATCTGGAGTGAATTACGGTAAGGGAGAGGAGTCAAACAGAACATGGCCTTAACTCATCCAAAATGCATCCATTCTTATGAATGGAGAATCATAACTGAGGAGGAAAACAGTGATAGACAGACTCAGTGAATACCACTCAGAGAGATATACATACAGAGATGGAAGAAAAGGTTAGAGAGAGAGAGAAAGAAAGAGAGCGAGAGAGAGAGAGATAAAATGTGTTTTGTGTTTATGTGAACGTTTTTTTGAGTGTGTGTGTTGTGTGTGTTTTGAGCCGTGTGTGTGATGGTGTGTTTGTGTTGTGTGTTTGTGTTGTGTGGTAGTGGGTGTGTGGTGTGTGTTTGAGTGTGTGTGTGTGTGTGTGTGTTGGGTTGTGGTGTGTGGTGTGTGTGTGTGTGTGTGTCCTGGGTGTGTGTGGGTGTGTGTGTGTGTTTTTGGTGTGTGCGTCTGTACGTCTGTTTTTCTCTTATATTCTGTTCGTGTATGAAATAGTCAGATACTCAGCAAACAAAACCTGATCAACTCTTGCCCCGCTTCTACTCTCCCCTCTCTTAAAATTACCTCATTCTCTCTCGTGGGATGAGGAAGAAAGAGAACAAACAGAAAGAACGAAAAAAATAAAGAATTATAGCTAGTTATAAGATCCAGATAGATAGAATATTCTATCTCTCGTGTCGCAGTCACAGTGAAACCATATTATGCATCTCTTTTCTATACTGCTACACTCGTTCTCTTCTGTATGTCGTAAGTATGAAGGGGATGGGGGAGATGAGAGGAAAGGGCAGAGAGAGATAGAAAAGGGATGGAGAAGAAAGAGGAAAGAAAAGACATCGGATAGAGGCTCGTTACTCCTCTGCTCTTCAGCGGAAGACGAGAAGGAGGCGGAGGAGGGGAGGGGGGCGGGCCGGCGAATATGCTCAAACCGGGACCTTCCCTCCGTTTACCGCAAGCGCGGGGGTATGCCATATTTCTGTCCGCGGATTCCCCTTTATTACCCGCCGTTTCACCCGTCTAGCTGAGGGCCATAGCTTTGTGGGCTGCGGACTCGATCGGGAGAGGTTATGGGAACAATGGAGGCGTGAGGGAGCCGGAGGGGAGGGAATTGATCTGACGACATAAGAGACCTATCTCTTCTGGCGTTCGATTAGTAGGCCCCATGAATCGGAGGTCTGGTTCATTTACAGGTACTGGGGTTTTTGATTTTAGAAAGGGGAGAAGGGCATTGAGGAGCAGAGGGCATGCGTGAGAGGAGGGAGGGGGAGGGGGGGAGGGATAGAGGAGGAGAGAGAGAGAGAGAGAAGAAGAATGTGGACATGGATGTAGATGGAGTGATTAGGAAGAATGATAGATAGACAGATGGGATGTGTTGCAAATGATGAGAATGTGAGTGGTCAAGTGTGTGTGTGTGTGTGTGTGTGATTGTGGAGTGAGCGTGGTGTTGTAGTGAGGAAGGAGAGAAGCAATGCACAGCACGGTACCGTTTAACGGTGAACGTTAAAGACTAGCTTCTGTCTAAAGAGAACAGGAAGAGAGGGAAGAAGACACGCGAGGAAAGAGAAAGAGAAAGAGCAAAGAGAAAGAGAAGAGACAGAGAAGAAGAAAAGAGAACGAAGAAGTAATAAAGAGCAAGAGAAGAGAACGAGAAGAGAAAGAGACGAGAGAGAGAAGATGAAGGAAGAAAGCATAGCAGAGAAATAGCATATAAGCTAAGTATAAGCTATAGAATAGCAGTCATATACTGCGAAGAGAATCTCTATATATTCCTCTACTCTCCTCTACGATAATCTCGTGTTGTCGTATGTTTCTTTCAGTAGCAACACTGTAGGACACAACTGTCTGATAATTGTGACTTCTCTCATCTGCAGAATGCGTGTGTGTCGGGTTTGTGCGGTTTATGTGATGAGTGTGTATCTGGGTTTGTGTGTACGGTCTGTGGAGCTGTTGTGATTGAGAACAAGGTATAGGAGGCAGATCTATAACATGATTCCCGATAGTTGCGCTGCTTCAACGTGTCTGCATTATGGGGTGTGTTATCAATGTGGCACCTGTGTATGATGTCCAAACATTAGTGTGCCTGTCCTGGTCTAAGAGGATAAGAAGTTAGTTTGAGGGGGGCATGACATGCCGTGTCATGTGTGGCAGTCCCATGGTATGCTGCCTTCTAGATTATGTTACCAATACTGAGAGGCAGAGCCTGGGACGATAAACCGACAACAGATCACTTAACGCAGGCATTTTTGCTGTTATCGTTCATGAAGAATAAGGAGCCTATACTAGAAAATTGTGAAGTTTGAAATGCAATAGGGGTGGACTTTGTTAATGGGGGGGGCACACCCCTTATGCGATAACTGGGGTTTGTGTGTTTTAGAGAGCCGCAGTGAGAAAGCCAAGAGACTGTTCCGCCATTACACCGTGGGCTCCTACGACAGCTTCGACGCTCCCAGGTAAGGATGGGGCTACTTTCTCTTTCTCTACACAGTATCATACTCAGAGATCTACCTGGAAGTCATTGGATTGAGTGATCTTGGCCTGGATATGCTTGGGGTATGTTGGAGTGAGTTGGGTAGCTGTAAGATGGGCTTTGGTAGAGTGATCTACAGTGCTGTGTTGGGTTTGACTATAGTTAATATACTGTATATTAACCTGAACTGTGTTGTCTGTGTGGAAGTGATCCACTGGACTATGATTGGGTGATCTACTGTACGATGGATTGTGATTGGGTGATTTACTCTAACATGGAGTGTGATTGGGTGATCTACTGTAAGATGGATTGTGATTGGGTGATCTACTGTAACATGGAGTGTGATTGGGTGATCTACTGTAAGATGGATTGTGATTGGGTGATCTACTGTAACATGGAGTGTGATTGGGTGATCTACTGTAACATGGAGTGTGATTGGGTGATCTACTGTAACATGGAGTGTGATTGGGTGATATACTGTGATGTAAGCTGGGCTGTAATTGATCTCTTATAAATTGGACTGTGTTGGGGACTATCTGCTACTCAATGCTGGGCTGTCTACCTGAAGTTCCATACAGTACTGGTCTGATATCTGAACTCCTGTAGACTGTCATCTCTGTGTCCTCTACTGATGTGCTGGTTGACTATGTTGTTGTTGTTGTTGTTGTTGTTGACTTCCAGATTGCTACATTGACACTTTGGAGTGTAACTCCTCTCATTAACACTTAGTAATGTAATGTCATTCTCTTTAATGTCATGTTTTTGTGTGGTGGCTCAGAGAGGCTCTGTTATGAGGCAAACCAACTTAAGGGTCCTGGACTTGGACAAAGAGAGAATTATTTATAAAAAAATAAACACATTATAAATCACATGTATTATTTACACACAATCCTTCTCCCCTGCCCGCTCACTATTACAGACAACACACACACAAACACAATGCGCACACCAGAAAAGCATTCATTATTTATTTATTTATCATTTCATTTAGACTTACGTGCTCAACCAAGCGACGGACACCTAAATGGAAACTCACACATACGTTTATACACACACATCATGGATATTTCAACAAATGTACTCATATGATATAAAACTCCAGGTTGTTTGGTCAGTCTGTGGCTGGCTGGCTGCTCACTGCTAACTCACTGCTAACCTACCTTCATACAAGTCTGTTTTTATCAGAGCCCTAGTGTGGATCCATCTCACCTATTCCCCTGATTTTTTCCACTCCTCTATATTTGGCTTTGTCACCCCTTCCATCTCTCTTTCTCTCCCTTAATTTTTATTCAGCACCATTTTACTCACCCCCTGTACTTTTTAATTTTCTCTCTATCACCCTCTCTCCCCTGTGGTGTTTCCATCTGGAGGACAGACAGTGAAGGGCACTCTAGAGGGAGCGAGGGAGCGAGGGATGAACAGAGCAAGAAAGGAGGTGAAGAGAAGGAGAGATTCTACAGTATGTAGAATTAGACAAAGAAGAAGAGAAAATAGATAGAGAAAACAGGAAATAGACATAAATGAACAACCCCACTTCCTCTCCCACTTTCTCCTCCTCACCTTTCATTCCGCTTTTAGATGGAAGATGTTTTTATATTGACAGTAAGAGATCTTGTACACCTCCTGGTCTGTCTAATGAAGCAGGCTTTTACTGCTCTGACTAGCTGTGACAGTTTAACAAGGCTCGGTCGAGATAGCAGTCAGCTAAATGAATGGCTTAAATTGATATTGTGGCACAGCGATTACATTAACAAGGAGTAGAGGAAGAGGAGAAGATGATCAGGGAGAGATATTGTCCCTCTATACCCTTTCACCCCTGGCGTCCATCTTTATCACTCCATTCCTCCTTTCTCCCTATTTGTTCTTATCCTCCTTCCTTCCTTCCTTCCTTCCTTCCTTCCTTGTTCTCTTCTTCCATCCATACAAGCCTCCCTCCTCTGTGCTTCTTCGCTCCCTGTGTCTCAGAGCCCATGGCAGTGAACTCCCCTAGTAGCACACATGACAACTTTTCTGGGGCAGCGGTCTGTGAAATAGGGACAAGGAAGCACACACACATTCTAGAGAAGAGGGGATTATTGCCCTCTATCACAAGAGGTGCATTCAAATCACATTCTGGTGCACATTGTACATGTTTTACAATTATAAAGGGAAAACACCATTCAACACATTCACTCATACAAACATGACCACACACTCATGAGTCACACACACTAACAGAAACACACATGACCACATAAACATGAGTCACACATACTAACATGACCAAAACACCTGCAAACATTCACTCTCTTGCACCACGGCCTCGAGTTCTCCAGAAGAGGCGAGCGAGAGCGAGCGCGCGAGAGAGGCGACGACTGGCGAGATAGTGAGAGGCGACGCTGTCTCTATAGATCGCTCCTCTTCTCATCTCCCCTCTCTCTTCTCTCCTCTCTCTCTCTCCCATCCTCTCCCTCTCCCTCTCTCTCTCTCTCTCTCTCTCTCTCACACACACGCGCGGCCATTACACTAAATTCACAGCGGTATAGCTTAACATGCAGAGAGAGAAACAAAAAGAGAGGGGATGTGAAGGAGAGAGAGGAGAAGAACGGCAAGAGGCAGTGAAGGCAGAAAGGCACCAGAGATAGGTAGGGGGGAGAGAGAGGGGGAGATTGAGCGAGAGGCAGGGAGGCAGAAGGGGAGGGAGTGAAAGGCGACAGAAGACAACATCGACGTACATCGAACGAAGCACTGACAGAGATGATGTGAGTGCCTTTTTAAAGAGAATCTCTCTCGCTCTAATTTCTCTCTTCCTTTGCTGCTCATCCCCAGCTGAATCTCTTCTTCTTCCTGTCTGTCTTGATGCGTCTCCTTCCTCTCGTTTCCCTCCCTCGCTCTCCTCTTTTCATTCATGCGCTCTGCTTTGTTTACAGACAATGTGAGAGAGGAAAGAGGGGGAGAGGTGAGGGGACTGTGTGCATGTGTGTGTGTTGATTAAAGGCCATGGGGGAGGGGGGGTGGGGTAGTTAATAGTGATTAAAGGCCATGGGGGAGGGGGGGTGGGGTAGTTAATAGTGATTAAAGGCCATGGGGGAGGGGGGGGTGGGGTAGTTAAGAGTGATTTAAGGGCATGTAGGGTCACTGAAGTAGAGAGGATGAAAGAGGTGGGAGGACAAAACGAGTGCAGAGATGACAAATGGGGAAATGGTAGAGAGGTGAGATGGGAGGAAGACAGGTTGACAGGTGGTGAAAAGAGGTAGGAGATGGGAATGAAGAGATAAAACATGTCGAAAAAGAGAGAGAATATTGAATTCAGGTGTTGTCCATATTTGGTTTATTAAAGGTGCAATGTGCCGAGATCACTCTGCCATTTCCTGGTTGCTAAAATTCGAATAGTTCGCCTAATTTCAGTTCATGTGACAAAACAAGCAGTTCATAGTGTAGAGAATCATTATACCATCTAAACCGCTGTGAAATAGATTTTAAATAACCAAAAATATTGTATTTTCAGCTGTTTGAAGCTTGTGTACAAAACCGAAAGTAAAAGACGCTAAAAAAGAAACTTAAGAACGGGAAGCATACAACTAGCGCACATAGAACACATCTACACGTTTCTTAGACTTGCTTTCAATGAGAATGACAGATCAATAACTCACATTTCTATGTGAATTTGAATCTGAGAATAATTTGATAATAGATATCTAAATACATGAATCATCTATCATAATGATCATAAATAGTCTGTATGCATATATGAGTTGTGAAAACATTGTGATTGTGATGACAGGATGCAAGCCTCAGCAGTTCAGAACAACAGTCAGTGCATTATACAGTATCTCCCTATCTGGAGTGAATTACGGTAAGGGAGAGGAGTCAAACAGAACATGGCCTTAACTCATCCAAAATGCATCCGTTCTTATGAATGGAGAATCATAACTGAGGAGGAAAACAGTGATAGACAGACTCAGTGAATACCGCTCAGAGATATACATACAGAGATGGAAGAAAAGGTTAGAGAGAGAGAGAAAGAAAGAGAGAAAGAGAGCGAGAGAGAGAGAGAAAGAATGTGTTTTGTGTGTATGTGAATGTTTGTTTGAGTGTGTGTGTGTGTGTGTGTGTGTGTGTGTGTTTGTGTGTGTGTGTGCGTCTGTGTGTGTGTGTGTGTGTGTGTGTGCGTCTGTGCGTCTGTTTTCTCTTTATATTCTGTTGGTGTATGAAATAGTCAGACACCAGCAAACAAACCTGATCACCTCTTGCCCCGCTCTTACTCCCCCTCTTAAAATTACCTCATTTCTCTCTCCCTTTTTATGCTAAACCATCTCACTCCCCCTCCCTCACTCACACGCTCCCTCCTTCTCTCTCTCTTTCTCCTCTCCCTCTCTCTCTCTCTCTCTCTCTCTCTCTGTGTCGCAGTCACAGTGAACCATCTCCATCTCTCTCCTGCTCCCTCGTTCTCTCTCTGTCTGTCTTAAGTATGAAGGGGCTGGGAGAGCTAGGCCCTTGCTCTCTCTCTCTCCATTGCTTTCTCCTCCTCTCCTCCCCTCCCTCGGCTCGTACTCGCTGCTCTCTCGCTGGAAGACGAGAAGGAGGAGGAGGAGGGGGGGGGAAATGGCGATGGGGGGATGCGGCGAGGAGGATCTCTCCCTCTCCCTCTCTTCTTCCTGGCCGTCGCTAGGCCCCATGAATAGGAGTGTCTGGTTCATTTACAGGTACTGGCTGTTTTTGATTTCTCACTGGTCGCAGGGCTTGAGGATAGAGGGATGGTGAGAGGGAGGGAGGGATAGAGGGAGGGAGAGAGAGAGAGAGAAGCATGCATGTGGACATGGATGGTAGACTGGAGTGATTAGGAAGACAGATGGGATGTGTTGCAATGCATGAGCCTGTGCGTGCGTCCGTGTGTGTGTGTGTGTGTGTGTGTAGTGAGGAAGGAGAGACGCATGCACAGCCCGGTACCGTTACCGGTAACGTTACAGCCTAGCTTTGTCTCCATGTACATTAATCGCTGTCTCTCCCTCTCCCTCCCCTCCCCTCTCCCTCTCCCTCTCCCTCTCCCTCCTCTCCTCTCCTCTCCTCTCCTCTCCTCTCCTCTCCTCTCCTCTCCTCTCCCTCTCCTCTCCCTCCTCTCCTCTCCTCTCCTCTCCTCTCCTCTCCTCTCCTCTCCTCTCCTCTCCTCTCCTCTCCTCTCCTCTCCTCTCCTCTCCTCTCCTCTCCTCTCCTCTCCTCTCCTCTCCGTGTCTGTATGTCTTCTTTCAGTAGCAACACTGTACTGACACAACTGTCTGATAATTGCTGCTTCTCTCATCTGCAGAATGCGTGTGTGTCGTGTTTGTGGGTTTATGTGTGAGTGTGTATCTGGGTCTTTGTGTGTAACGGTCTGTGAGCTGTTGTTGATTGAGAACAAGGTATAGGAGGCAGATCTATAACATGTATTCCCGCTAGTTGCGCTGCTTCAACTGTGTCTGCATATGGTGTGTGTTATCAATGTGTGCACCTGTGTATGTGTCCAAACATTAGTGTGCATGTGGTATAAGAGGATAAGAAGTAGTTTGAGGGGTGCATGACATGCCGTGTCATGTGTGGCAGTCCCCATGGCTATGCTTCTAGATTATGTTACCAATACTTATAGCAGAGCTGGGACGATAAACCGACCATACCGATCACTTAACGCAGGCATTTTGCTGTTATCGTTCATTACGATAAGTAGCCTATACTAGAAAATTTTGAAGTTTGAAATGCTAATATGGGTGATTGTTAATGGGACAACCATCAAACTAGTAGTAGTAGTTTAAAGGATCATTAAATAAAACTGTGGTGACATTAATGTTATAAACTCATCATTCTATTTATCGGTATCAGATCAATTCAGGCAATTTATCGTGATATGGAGTTTTGTCCACATCACCCAGCTCTAACTTATAGATTGTGTTGCATGGATCAGTTACTTTGGAGATACAGTAGGTATGTATGTTGGAGATAGATATATTGGAGAAACATGGTTAGATGATTGTGTTGTGTTATTACGGTATGCACAACCTTGAGTTGGTGACAGACTTGATGACAGGGGAGCTTGTGTTAGTATAGATACCACTGGGCTGCAGTCCAGGGGAATATTAGTGTGGGGAACCTAACCAACCCAACAAACCCTTAGGTGTGCCGGGGTCTGGAATGAGACCTTATTCCCTATATAGATCCCATGCATCTCTGATCAACAGTAGTGCACTAGGCTATATTATGAGGAAGAAGGTGTCATTACAGATGGATACAGTCCATGATTGTGTGGTGCTCATTGGTTCATGCTGGCAAATGACTGTATTTAAGTGAGTTGCTATGCCAGTGACTGTATTTAAGTGTGTTGCTATGCCAGTGACTGTATTTAAGTGAGTTGCTATGCCAGTGACTGTATTTAAGTGAGTTGCTATGCCAGTGACTGTATTTAAGTGAGTTTCTATGCCAGTGACTGTATTTAAGTGAGTTGCTATGCCAGTGACTGTATTTAAGTGAGTTGCTATGCCAGTGACTGTATTTAAGTGAGTTGCTATGCCAGTGACTGTATTTAAGTGAGTTGCTATGCCAGTGACTGTATTTAAGTGAGTTGCTATGCCAGGGGAGGGGACTGCATGATAGAAGCAGAGGGGTGGGGCTTGGAGTATAGTCAAGCAACATACACTATGGAAACATTATTACAGGTAAACAGTATGTTGTATGTCTATATATATCATATTATTATGATTATTCATACAGTATGACAGTATGTAGATCGATTTATTCATAGACATAGAAAAAGAAGTGAGAAGGGGGCAAGCAACTGGGAGGACTAAAGAGAGAGAGAGAGAGAGAGAGAGAGAGAGATGAACAGATGGAATTGGCTGGGACTATTGTAGGGGGCACAGTAGGATTATCAGCATGTGGGTACAGTATGTTACAGTAGAGACAGTATCTATAGAACACCTGACTAACTGACTGGCTGTTTCCATTCACACTCCCTCCCATCATACTGCCTGACTCACTGCTGGACCACATGCATCACTCATTGACTTACTGATTCATTGACTGAATGGGAAACTGAATGGACTTCTGGATTGCATAATTCAGTAGCTGGCTTGCTGATTCACTGACTCAGTGACACACTAGCTGGTTGAATGTTTGGATGACTGGTGTACTAACTAAACTAGGTCATCCAAAGGGGATCAAGTGACTGACATGCAGGTTCTTGTGGGTATTCTTACTTCTTCTGTGGTCTTTCCATGATAGCTCCGTGTACTATAGTTAGATAGCAACTGGAAACTGCCAATTATCGTCATCTCCCATACTCATTATCCCCTGTTTATTCATGAGGCTATTTTAGCGAGGCAGACAAACATAACCTAACTGCCATTGTATCTCTTTATTGGCTCTACATGTGAGGATTCTTATTGTTCTTCTTTGGATGACAACTTCTGTGCCATTAGAGCGCCTAGCTTTGCATACATTGCTCTCTTCCAGTGTAGTCAGACCTCTCTATATTACACCAGCTAGCTCCTACGTCCAGTAGCTTGTTGCTCAGGCAACCGCCACTATCATATATAGCCTAGCATCTTAGAGAGTGAGGTTCTAGAACAACATCTCTGGTCTTTCTGTCAACCAACTCAGCGCAATCTTACTGTACCTCGCCTAGTTGCCAACCCAAAGCTGCCAACCGAGCCCCTGGTCTGGTGCATTATGTCATCAGCTGACCCCTGACCCCAGAGAGGACACAGGAAATACAAACCCACTGCCCAGCTCTGGGGAGCCGAGTCAGGGCGGAGTCAGTTAAATGTATTCATTCATGTGCTTTAAAAATTTGCCCTCATTTCAGAAGGTCCCTGAACCCTCCCACCTCCCTCTCTCTCCCAGGATTAAGGCTCCCTCCTGGTGCAGTGTGCAGGGGTGGATACCTATCTCCTATCTCTCTCTCACACGCTCAATCTCTCTCTCTCTCCTTCCTGCCGTCCTCTTTCTTCCTCTCCTTTTTTTAATGTATCTCATGTTATCTCTCTAACTGTCTCTCCCCATCTCTCTCTTAGTGACTATATCATCAAGGAGAAGACAGTGCTTCTGCAGAAAAAAGACAGTGAGGGTTTTGGCTTTGTGCTGAGAGGAGCCAAGGGTAAGGAAATACGTGCGCTCAGCTGTTGATAGATATACAGACAGGCCTTTAATGAACAGGCACACACACACACACACACGCACGCGAACACAGACGAACACACTTGGACAGTCTCACTGTGCTGCATCTATTTCATCAGTCTAGTTATTACAGTCGTTATGACATAATGTTTGTGACCCCTCAGCTCAGACTCCCATCGAGGAGTTCACCCCCACCCCAGCCTTCCCAGCACTGCAGTACCTGGAGTCTGTCGACGAGGGAGGCGTGGCCTGGAGAGCCGGTCTGAGAATGGGAGACTTCCTCATTGAGGTGTGTGCTGCTGGGGCATGATGGGAGCTGTAGTTGGATTCTTCACAATTACTGTTATTCGGAAAAATCACATGGACTTCCCTTCTTCTTCTTCTTCTTCTTCTTCTTCTTCTTCTTCTTCTTCTTCTTCTTCTTCTTCTTCTTCTTCCCCTCTATTTCTCTCTCCCTCCCCCTCTCAGGTGAATGGTCAGAATGTGGTGAAGGTGGGCCACAGGCAGGTGGTCAACATGATCAGGCAAGGTGGAAACGCCCTCATGGTCAAGGTTGTCATGGTAACACGCAACCCTGATATGGAGGATGGCCAAAGAAAGAAAAGTAAGAGACAACACAGGGTCTGGAACTATGACGATGATGATGATGATGATGATGATGATGAGTATGAGGACGATGACGAGGATGATGATGCTTTCCTTTCTCCACAGTCCCCCAGCAGAGTAAAAGACTAAGCACCCCAGCCATCGCTCTGCGCTCCAAATCCATGACCTCAGAACTGGAGGAGATGGGTAAGACATGGGGGAGACAGGTTGGGTTCTGGGTAGTGAATGAAAGAGAGAAGGACAGAGGAGGAAAGGGAGACCAGGAATATAAAGAGAGCGAAAGAGCTAGCACATATAGAAGGAATACAAAGGATCTATAACAGAGGGAGATGTAAGCCTGGAGATTGATAGAGAGAAGTGATGAGAAGAGAAGGTGAAGACAGGAGGGATGGGTAGAGCTAAAGATACATGAAGAGAAAAAAGCGAGAGAGCCCTAAAAAAGAAAGAACTCACTGGGCACAGACGTCAATTCAACGTCTATTCCACGTTGGTTCAACGTAATTTCATCGAAATGACGTGGGAAAAAACATTGATTCAACTAGTGTGTGCCCAGTGGGAAAGGAAAGGCAAAAGCGGATGCAAAGTCACAGAGAGGTATGCTGTGATGGAGAGGGGGAAGCAAGAGAGGCAGAGAAGTGCCACTGTTATATACTGCCATTGAGTGTCCCAGGAAAAGTGGTTAGAACCTTAAGGGTGACAGCACAGCATTGTTAGGGTACCAACATGGATGAGAGTCTCAATGCATTTCACTGTTCTTTCAGAGGTTCCACACTGTCACTTCCAGCACCCCCACTACAGGTAACCCCCCAAACAATGTCCTCACCCACCCCCTGATCCTTCTCACTTCTCTTACCCCCTGACCCCCTTTACCCCCCAGCCTCCAGCCGTCAGCCCTATAACCCTAGCACCCCCAGACCAGTCCCACGTCTCCACAAACAGACCTACACTGGCTGAGTGTGTTGTTGCCAGGGTAACACTGCAGGGGGTGGGTGTCACTCGGAGGGAGACTACTGTAGCTGCTGCTGTGGTCTCTACTGAGCATGCTCACTGGGCCCATGATGATGATTTATGGGAGCAGATCATATGAGAGGCAAGCGGGAGCCTCTGAGGATTCCCTATCTGATCCTAGGTCAGATTCCAGCTCATTCCAATAGACTCCCACATGTCACTCTCCCTTACATTACTCCTGTCCTCAATACACACTGCTTATTATCTCCTGAAGTGGAGAGCCAAGATAGGATCCAGATGGTTGGGTAGCTACTAGCTCACTGTACCCCTGACTATCCCCTCATCACCACTCTCTGTGGTCCAACCCCCCTGACTATCCCCTCATCACCCCTCTCTGTGGTCCAACCCCCCTGACTATCCCCTCATCACCCCTCTCGTGATCCAACCCCCCTGACTATCCCCTCATCACCCCTCTCTGTGGTCCAACCCCCCTGACTATCCCCTCATCACCCCCTCTCTGTGGTCCAACCCCCCTGACTATCCCCTCATCACCCCTCTCTGTGGTCCAACCCCCCTGACTATCCCCTCATCACCCCTCTCTGTGGTCCAACCCCCTGACTATCCCCTCATCACCACTCTCTGTGGTCCAACCCCCCCTGACTATCCCCTCATCACCCCTCTCTGTGATCCAACCCCCCTGACTATCCCCTCATCACCCCTCTCTGTGGTCCAACCCCCCCTGACTATCCCCTCATCACCCCTCTCTGTGGTCCAACCCCCCTGACTATCCCCTCATCACCCCTCTCTGTGGTCCAACCCCCCTGACTATCCCCTCATCACCCCTCTCTGTGGTCCAACCCCCAACCCCCCTGACTATCCCCTCATCACCCCTCTCTGTGGTCCAACCTCCCTGACTGACTGATTGACACACAGCATGAGTACCCGCCCCCACAGACACCCCCTGCCCTGCCCTGATCTCCCCTCACCTGTAAACCAATGATCACTACCCCTATAGTATGTAACACCCCAAACCTACACTACACTAATGTTGCAACCCCTTGTCCCACTACTACACAAACCTTAATACTGTAACAGCAGTATATATACTGTATAACCCCACACATACATAACCCCTGACAAGGGAGATAATACAACTATACCCTCCATATTTAATGCATAACCATACAGTAGATATATTTGTATTATTTAATCTTCATAAACAAACATATACTATAAAGATCTCTTTTCATACAAAAGTCTGTCCTGCAACTGTTCTTTATGGATCAACTTCCGCTCCTCATTCCATAAGCGTGTTCTCTAAAGCAGAATGCGTGATCGAGCCATATCAGCCTCTGCCATATGCTTATTCTAATGCCATGAATGAATATAGCTCCCTCTGACAATGCCCATTAAACTATCTCACCCTCTATGTTTGGTGCAGTGTCCCAGTTCACCTAGAAGTCACACTGCAAGATAGCACCAGCACGTATTATAACATGGACATGATATCACACCCTTACCTGAGTTCTTCAGCATTGTTTTAACAGCACCTTTCTATTCTAAAGCAGTAGCCTAAGCGTCGATTAGAAGGCTAATGACAGTATGCTATCTTTCTTTTTACTGGAAAGTTGTTATACAGTTATTACACACAGTGTTGTTTTCTAAACTTTCCTACCACTCACCACCTCTAAAAACGTTGTCCCCACAATACACAAATTCACACACTCACAGGGGGCTGTTTGAACACCTCTCTAAAACCGTCTGTAGAACCCTATGGTCTACTCACGGTCGTGTTCAGTGTTTTAACCACTAACTCTGTCTTTCCTCTGAACTCGCTGCACTTCCCTGTGGTGGGGACGCTTCACAGTGGAGAGAGGTGAGAGACATCTCCAAGCTGTTGTGTGTGTGTGTGTGTGTGTGTGTGTGTGGTGTGTGTGTGTGTGTGTGTGTGTGTGTGTGTGTGTGTGTGTGTGTGTGTGTGTGTGTGTGTGTGTGTGTGTGCATGCAAGTGTGCATGCGTGTGTACGCAAAGAGGACACAGACACCTCTGATTGCAGCACACATAGCAATATGAGTATTACTTATTACAATGATGGTGTAACCGTAAGTGCCAAAGTTAACATCTGCCTTTGCCTTGTCTTCAGCTGCTACCCCCTGGAAAAAGAAATCTGGTACGATTCACAAATTCCTTTTATGCTTTGTGTTTGTAGCTATTAAAACTGCAAACGTCTCTGCTAGCCAGTTAGCGTTCAGTCAGCTTTCTGGGTTTTTCCGTTTCCTTTCAGAATTTGAGTCTTCACAAGTTACAGAGAAGAAGAGGACAGTCTATCAGATGGCTTTGAGTAAGAGACTTCATATCCATGTACAGCATCAGGGGAATAGCTGGGCTTTATTTTTCACATATCAACCAATTCCCCCTCAGTGGGTGGATGTGTGGTGGACTGTTTGTTGGCTTGATTTGACCCTCTCTTCTCTTCTCTCCCCTCCCTCACCCTTTCCCTCCTCCACTCTATCGCATCCTCTTCTTGTTATCCTTCTCTAACCTCTATACCACTTGCTCTCTCTCTCTCTGCGTCTCTCTCTCGCTCTCCATCTCTCTCTCTTTCTCTCTCTCTCGCCGTCTCTCAGATAAACTAGATGAGATTCTGGCAGCAGCTCAGCAGACAATCAGCACCACTGAGGGGCAAGGGACGCGGGGTCAGGGTACAAGGAGAGACAGGAGCCGGGGCTCCTTTTACGCCAACGAGGTGTGTGTGTTCGCGTGCGTGCGTGTGTGTGCGAGCTCGTGTTCACTGGTGCGATCACCTGTCATGAGGTTGAGAGGAACAGTTTGTCCAGTAGTGTTCCTATGATAACACCCACATTTTAAGGAGATGCTACACAATGTCATTTAGTGGGTTATCTTGATGCAACACTCATACAAATAAGATTTATTTGACTGCCTAAGCTACTGTACTACTAGATATGAATAGTGACGCTATTTTATGCACTTACAGTACCACAGTCTGCAATGTTTATTCTGTTATATAAGTTATATACTGTAAGTTATATCCTTTCTGTTATATAAGTGATATACTGTAAGTTATATCCTTTCTGAACATTGTCCTTTGTTCCCTCTTCCCGCTCTTGCTGTGCAGCCAAATTACGACCAATCAGAAATTGGGATGACAGGACTGGGCTATGACCACGCCCAGTTCACATCAGGCCACGCCCCCCCGCACGGTATGCTGCGACAGAAATCCATTGGTGAGGCTATCTGTCTGTCCGTCTGTCTGTCCTCTAGACTCTTAAAGGCCTGTGCTGTAATACACTGTTTGTCTGTAGCTGTAGTATACCATGTGCATCTAGTCTACCTGTTCTGTTCTGTCTCTGTCCTGCAGTTAACATACATGTTACTCTGGTTCATGTTGTAGTATGTTTCTGCTGTGGAGTATAGCAGTTTATATGTGTTGTACTGTACTAAAATGTATGTGCTCTCCATTGTACTAGTTTTATGGGTTTGTAGGCTGGTACACTGTAGCTAGGAGCTGTTCATCACAGAAGCTGAGCTGGGCTGGAACTGTGGTTCAGTGTGACACAGCTAAAGACTATGGACTTCTCCTGTGACTTGCCAAGTAAACATAACCTGTTTATTGTGGTATAAGGTTCTACAATGTCAGTTTCTGTACTTTTACCAGTACATACAGAGTGATATTGATGGGCATCATATCTCTGCTAGAGGATAGACAGACTTACAGATGAATGAGAGGACTGCCTGACAATTAGACAGACGGGCAGGCAGTTACAAAGACAGACAGACAGCCTCCCACATTAATCATCTGTTCTTTTGTTCTAGCAGTATTTTCTCTGTACCATTCCTCTACCACTCTCTCCTCCATCCCTCACCCATCTGATCGCTCTGCTCTGTCTCTCTCATCCATCCCTATACCTCAGTCCCTCTCTCTCTCTCTTTCATCAGTCCTTTTCATCCTTCTCTTGTATCTCTGTCTGTGGTGTACTGCAGGGGTGACTGAAGAGGAGAAGTCCCATCTCAATCCTCCGGCCATGAAGTTTGCCCGTAGTCTCTCGGTTCCCGGCCCAGATGACATCCCCCCGCCCCCCACCACTGCCCCGCCAGACCCCCCCTTCTCCTCCGCCCCGCCCCTGGGCTGGAGAGGGGGCAAGTCTTCCCAGCAGCCCTCTGTGGCCGTGTCCCAGTCCACCTCCACGGCAGCCCACTACCAGCTCTACTCTCAGTCTGTGCACTTCACCCACGGGGGCCGTGAAAGGGCAGGGGGCCCCAGCACCGGCCAGGGAGGCGGAGGGGTGGACCACACGCACCAGTACTCTAATGCCCCCGCCCACTCCGCTCAGAGCAGGACTGCCTCTAGGAAAGGGGGCTACCCAGGGGAGCCTGTTGGAGCAGGGGGAGGGAGGGGGGGGCCAAGGCTGCAGGTCTAAGGAGGGGCCACAGTAACGCCCCACCTTCCAGCGGTGCCACAGTGATGCCCCAGCAGCAGCAGACCACCCAGAGCCAGGCCGCAGCGGGCAGAGCGCAGTGCTGCGGGGGGGGCTGGAGAGGGGGTACCTAAAGGAGGGGGGGCGCGGAGAGGGAAGGGCCCCCTGGTGAAGCAGTCCAAGGTGGAGGACCTGCGTGCTAGCCAGGGCACGCTGGGAGGCAAGGCTCCAGTGGAGAAGAGCTCCATCCCCATCCCCACCATCATAGTCAAGGCCCCCTCCATCAGCAGTGGCAGTGGCCGAAGCAGCCAGGGTAGCAGTGTGGATGCCGAGCCCACCCCACCAGGGGAGACTGACAGAACCCAACCCCTCCACGGACCCCCTTCCACCCCAGCCCCGCAACCCCCTGCTCCCCCCTCCATCCCGGCCCCTCCACCCCCCTCCCTCCGAGGCCAGGATAGTGACTTCACCAGCCAATTTGGGGCAGCCATTGTGGGCGCAGCCCGCCGGGACAGGGAACGCTTCCATGAGGCCCGCAGGAAGAGCACCTCCATCTTCATGTCTGCCGAGGAGGAGGTGGGGCCAGGGGGAGGAGGGGCAGGCAGGACTCAGGCCTCCCAGCAGCAGCAGTTCAGCCCCCAGCCTGGTGGCCCCTCCCCACGCCTCCGGCCTTCCAAGTCCATCGACGAGGGCATGTTCTCTGGAGACACCTTCATCCACCACACCCGCAGCATGCCCCCTGCCTTCGGCCTGCCGGAGTACTCCTCCCCGGCTCCAGACTACCAGCCCAAGTCTGTTCCGGCTGACTTCTACGGGGCGTCAGGCCGGCAGCAGCAGCAGGTCCCCTCTGGCACCACCTTCATCCACCCCCTGACAGGAAAGGTCCTGGACCCCTCGTCCCCCCTGGGCCTGGCCCTGGCTGCCAGGGAGCGCGCCCTGAAGGACGACGGCAAGATGAGGAGGGAGAGAGGGGCCGAGCACCAGTTTGGACGACAGATGTCCAGTGTGGTGGCATTCCCCCCCCAGGCAACCTCCCCCACGCCGGCTTCCTCAGCCACCCATTCCTCCAGCTCCTCCTACCTGGTCACCTCCTCCTCCCTAGCCGCCACCACCTCCTCCACTGGCCGACCCCCCTCCCCCAGGATCCTCAGGGGTGCAGGTTGGGGCGAGGAGGGGGGAGGAGGGGAGCGGGAGAGGGAGGGTGGCGGGGCCAGAGAGGGGCTGAGGGTGCGCTTCTCTGAGGACAAAACAGTCCACATGCATCACTACCAGTCCCAGCACTATCAACCAACCTACAGGGAGGAAAGACAGAGGGAGAGGTCAAGAGAGAGGGAGAGGTCAAGAGAGAGGGAGAGGTCCAGAGAAAGAGAGCGGGACAGAGACCGGGACAGAGAGGGGTACATGAGGCAGCAGACAGCCCCTACCCAGCAGCCCCCTCAGCCGTCGTCCCAGCAGTCTCGCCCGCCCTCCTTTCTGAGGATGGAGAGTGAGGCAGGTGCCTACATCCTGTCTCTCACCCCTCCATCTCCCCCTGCTACAGCCGCCCCATCTCACCCTCAGGGGGGAGGGGGTTCTGCGGGCAGTGGCCTCATGGTTCTGCCGCCCCCTGCCCCCTCGGTGGATGTGGATGATGAGTTTGTCTTTGCGGACCCACTGCCCCCTCCCCTGGAGTTTGCCAACAGCTTTGACCGGGGTATGGGTGGGAGGTCAGGGTACACACACCGCGCCATTATCAACAACCTGGCCTCCCGCCAGCAGCAGCCCCCACCGCCTCCCCCTCCTCCCCCACCACCCCCTCCAAAAGACATGTTTATCAGCGGGTTCCCGGCCCACAACCCCCTACCCTCCCCACAGGCGGGGGACTCCACGACCTCCAGCCTTACCTCCTATGACAGTGAGGTGGCCAACCTGACCCAGTCAGGAAACTCCCCCACTCAGACATCACCCAACCCCCTCCCTCCACCCTCACCCTCCGGCCTCCAGCCCATAGGACCTCCGCCTCCCCCCTCTGTCTCTCCCCCACCCCCACCCAGCTCCTTCCACAGACCCTCCCTTGCCATGACCCACTCTCACCACCTCTACAACAGCACGCACACCGGGCGCTCCTCCCCTTCCCATGGGCGTTCCTCTCCCACTCCTCCTCCCAAAGGGCGCTCCTCCCCCACTCCTCCTCCCAAAGGGCGCTTCTCCCCCACCCAGGGTCGCTCCTCCCCCACCCAGGGTCGCCCCTCCCCCATCCATAGGAGCTCATCCTCCACTCCTCCTCCCCACTCCATTGCAGGGCCCCCATCCTACCATGGTCCCCCTCCCATCTCCTCCACCGCAGCCTCCTCTGGCCCCTTCCGGGGCTCTGCAGCCCTGACCTCCACTGCTACCTGTGCCACCACCACCACTGCTGCCACCACCACGAGGACCTCAGTCCAGCCCCACCAGGACAGGACACACCCAGCCCCCTCTGGTTCTACAGCGGCCGGCCGCAGGATAGGGGAGCACCACCCTCACCCCACAGCCAAGGCAGGGGAGTCCCAGGAGACGGTGGTGGACTCTGGGATAGAGGAGCTGGACAGCCGCAGCAGCAGTGACCACCACCTAGACAGCATCCTGGCCATGAGCGGAGGCGCTAGAGAGAGGCTGGAAGAGAGGCTAGAGAGAGGGAGGGAGGGAGGAGGGATGGGAGGAATTGGAGGAGGAGGAGGAGGGGAGGGAGGAGCAGACCTCCTGGAGTCGTACATGAGCTACCTGGACGGACAGACGTTTGACATGCACAACACCACGGCCGCTGTCTCCACCTACCCCAAATCAGGCAGGTTCAGGGAGGGGGGCCGCGCAGCTGAACTACGCAGAGAGACCAGTACCGCCCCACCCTCCTTCCAGTCACACAGACGGAGGAAGGATGAGGAGGAGGAGGGCGAGGAAGGAGAGGAGGAGGACGATGGAGGACGGGATGGTTATGGGAAGACACAGAATTTGGGGCGTCCCACCTCGCCCTACTTTGACAGGCCCCGGACCCCTGAGATGAAGCCTCTGTGGGGGTCAGAGGGTCAGTTAGTAGGGGAACAGGGGGCCTACCTGGAGGCCAGGAGGCTGTACCCCCCCATGTCCAGCATGAAGGCCAGCATCATCAATGAGCTCAGCAACAAACTGCAGCAGAGAGGAAGCCAGAGATCGCTAAGTAGACACAGGTACACTTTCTATAATATGTTAGGGGATATTTGGTGAGGTTGTGCATGTTGATACGGATAAAATCACCACTGTTGTATTATATTCAGTAGACCAAAGATTTCATTACAAATGCGTGCATGTTTTACATCAGTGGAGGCTGCTGAGGGGAGGACGTGTCATAATAATGTCTGGAACGGAGAAATGGAATGGCATCAAACACCTGGAAACCATGGAAACCATGTGTGTGATATATTTGATACCATTCCACTGATTCCGCTCCAGCTGTTACCACGAGCCCATCCTCCACAATTAAGGTACCACCAACCTCCTGTGTTGTAAACATCAATCAACACAGCGATCTCTTGTCCTGGCGCTACTTGTTATGTATTTCGTTGGAATGGGTGAGTTTGTGTGTGTGCGTGCGTGAGTGTTTTACTATGTAAATTCTTCCCCACTTTAATGTCCCATGCTTTTGTCTCCGTCTGCTTTATGTCTCTCCTCCACCAGAAACAGGTAATTGCACTCCTCCTTTCTGTTTGACTGGACATAAAACGTTACCCCTTTCTTCAATTTACTGCCTGTGTTTCAACAGCAAGAGAAAGGAAAGCAAGTTCATGTCTACTCAACACAACTTTAATAGCAATTAGCTGCTGTTAACATCCAGAGCATAAAATTGATAGCCAATCTAACAGCGGCCATCTTCAGGTTTAGGCTACTAGTGAATAGTGGTGGTGAGGTTGGGTAATGTGTTATGAATAGCCCCTTTATGTACTGTATGTACAGTATGTGTGACTCTCTTTCTCTCACTTCCTCCTGTCTCATTCCTTCTTTTCTGTCCCCAGGTTTTCAGAAGACTCCGCCTCGGCCCTGAGCCCCCCCTCAGTTCGTTCCCTGTCCCCCTCCCCTATCCACCACTCCCAGCCCGCCCTGTCCCTGTCCCCCACCCCTTCCTCCCAGTACCCCAACTGGAACCATCCCCCGTCCCCCCAGCCCCCTGTGGCTGCCGTACAGCCCCCTCCACGCCCCAACTCCCCCATGTCCTCCCCCACCTACTCCCCTTATCCCACCTCCCCTAAACACCGGCCTGTGTATCGCACCAAAGCCCTGGAGTTCCAGTTCATTCCAAGTAGAGAGTCCAGGAAGGCAGAGTCCCACCACCTGCAGCGTAGGCGAGCCCCCAGTCCCCTCATATCCCCCTCAGAGAGGCCCAAACTGGGTCCACCCCGCCCCTCCTCCCTCCCCCTCCTCCCTACCACACCCCTCTACAGCAGCCTCTACGAGCTCCGCGGCTCCATCACCCCTCCCTCGCCCGCTAACCACATGGGTGACCCCTACTTCTCCCCCTCCCCTCCTCTCTTTGCCCCCTCTGGCGCCCCTCCTCCCCCAAACGCCTCCCTGTTGGTGTCTCGCTCCCTCTCCCCCACCCACTTTCTATCTGGTACCTCATCACCTCCCCTGCACCCTCTCCCCGCTCCCCCCTGCCTGAGCTACCCCCACCTCCCTCCCCCATCCCCCTCCAAGCCCTTTGCCTCCAAGCCACTGCCTTATTGGACCAAATATGACGTGGCTGATTGGCTGGGATACCTGAACCTGGGCGAGCACCGGGAGCATTTCCTGGACAACGAGATCGACGGTACTCACCTGCCCTCCCTCACCAAGGAGGACTATCTGGACCTGGGGGTGACGCGCGTGGGACACCGCATGAACATTGAACGTGCTCTGAAGAGAGTGACTGACAGGTAAGTGGGAGAGAGATGGGTGGATGAGAGGGAGCAGGGTGAGAGGATAAGAGCATAGAGATAGGCCTGTCTTGTAAAATAAACCAAGATAGAACAAATCCTATGCCAGGTTGTAAACCTCTGCCTATCCCCCTCTCCTGTCTTGCTCTTTCATGTCTCTCTCCTGGCTGTCTCTCTTGTCTCTCTCCTATCTCTCTCCTGTCTCTCTCTCGTCTCTCTCCTGTCTCTCTCTTGTCTCTCTCTCCTGTCTCTCTCTCGTCTCTCTCCTGTCTCTCTCTTGTCTCTCTCTCCTGTCTCTCTCTTGTCTCTCTCTCCTGTCTCTCTCTTGTCTCTCTCCTGTCTCTCTCTCCTGTCTCTCTCTCCTGTCTCTCTCTCTTGTCTGTCTCCTGTCTCTCTCTCTTGTCTCTCTCCTGTCTCTCTCTCCTGTCTCTCTCTTGTCCCTCTCTCTCTCTTTTGTCTCTCTCCCGTCTTTCTCTGGTTTCTTTCATGTCTCTCTCTCTCCCGTCTCTTGAATTGAAATCAGGCTCAAAATTCATGAATGTGTTATTCAGATAGTATGGCACTGGGGCAGGTCTTGCTCTTGTTAAAGCATCCATTAATGGCTCAAAAAAATTAAAAACATGACTTTAATCTCTTTTCTCTTTCCCAAGGCTCTCCAGCTCTCCTTTTCCCATTTCTGCTCTGTCACCACGAGGAAGAAGGGATGATGGGAGTCGGAGCTGAGAAGACAAACAGAAAGAGAAAGGAGGGGCGATGGAATCAGTGAGGGAAGAGGAGAGAGAGAGGCCACAACTGCTGCTATCCATGATGGATTCACACAACAAAAGCAGAGGACCTGATTTCACCCAGAGGGAGGACCAATCAGGAACAGAGAGGAAAAAGGAGCGCTGGAGAAAGGGCTGACCAACGCCTGGTACTCAGGGCCTGGCAGCTGACTCTCTCATGACAGATACACTCTCATGCACACAAATACAGTAACACACACACACACACACTGACTGTCATGTCAACACACACACACACACTACAAGGCAACAAATAACGATAGGAGTAAAATATAGTGACAAAACTGAGCCAAATATATTGAGAGAAACAATCAAATGTTGTTTAGCTTTTTCATCTGAGCAGTTGTTAGTGTTGTTGGGGAAAGAGAGAATGAGGATTGTCCTCATTATTAACACTAGTTAGTGCTTTCTCCTCCTGTCCTCTCTGGGAGCTGTAGCTCCTCCTCTCTACCCTAGGGTTAGGTAGCTGTAGCTCCTCCTCTCTACCCTAGGGTTAGGTAGCTGTAGCTCCTCCTCTCTGCCCTAGGGTTAGGTAGCTGTAGCTCCTCCTCTCTGCCCTAGGGTTAGGTAGCTGTAGCTCCTCCTCTCTGCCCTAGGGTTAGGTAGCTGTAGCTCCTCCTCTCTGCCCTAGGGTAAGGGTTAGGTAGCTGTAGCTCCTCCTCTCTACTCTAGGGTTAGGTAGCTGTAGTGCCTCCTCTCTACCCTAGGGTTAGGTAGCTGTAGCTCCTCCTCTCTACCCTAGGGTTAGGTAGCTGTAGCTCCTCCTCTCTACCCTAGGGTTAGGTAGCTGTAGCTCACCCTCTCTGCCCTAGGGTTAGGTAGCTGTAGCTCCTCCTCTCTACCCTAGGGTTAGGTAGCTGTAGCTCCTTTCTACCCTAGGTTTAGGTAGCTGTAGCTCCTCCTCTCTACCCTAGAGTTAGGTAGCTGTAGCTCCTCCTCTCTACCCTAGGGTTAGGTAGCTGTAGCTCCTCCTCTCTACCCTAGGGTTAGGTAGCTGTAGCTCTTCCTCTCTACCCTAGGGTTAGGTAGCTGTAGCTCCTCCTCTCTACCCTAGGGTAAGGGTTAGGTAGCTGTAGCTCCTCCTCTCTACCCTAGGGTTAGGTAGCTGTAGCTCTTCCTCTCTACCCTAGGGTAAGGTAGCTGTAGCTCCTCCTCTCTGCCCTAGGGTAAGGATTAGGTAGCTGTCTAGCTTGACTGTTGTTGGCCCCATAGCTGGCTGTTCAGATATGTGTTCAGTTTCAGGAGAGACTCCCCCTACAGTTAGTGGAGTGCAGTCAATGAAAACCTGTGTGAGTGAATATAACTGTTAGAGCTCTTTGTCTGAGTGAGCAAGTTATTGGGATGAATCTTCTTGGTGTAGTTCATAATATGGGCATGAATGAGACAAGGTGGCAGCCTACATGCATGTCTTGGGTAATGTCGTAGGTGGAGCGCCTCTTGTAGGGGTCAGTGTGTCATCGGCAGAGCTTGATGGGTGAATCCTCACTTGACTGTAGTGGCTGTGTCTGGTGGAGACCTGTCTGTATGACTGTGTGTGATTGGTTGTCTGTTTTTACCTCACCAATGGGAGGGCTCCGTGCTCACTGAAGGCCCTTTGATAAGGACCTGTAAACACATTCTATTTCTCTATAGCTTCTTTATCATCTTATCGTCTTATAATGGCATATTATATACAGACTGGTCACTGTATTACAAATCTGTAGCATAAATAAGTGCCCAGACCAACAGCATAGAAATAAAGACACAGACATGTACACCCTCTCACTCAATAACACAGATCACTATACTGACACATACAGAAATGCGCACTTACAAATGCTCATGTACGTAGTGTACACACATATTCACATTCTCTCTCTCCTACACACACACACATACTCTGTGTTTCTGTTAGAATTAATGGGACACCTTAAATATATTTGTTTGGATCCAAGATGTATCTTATACTAAAAGGGGACTGTGCTTTCAGAGATCGAGGGAATACGTGACATAAACAATATCTCATTGAAGATTGACTCCATTTATACAAAAGACTTTCGAAGCATCGAAGCAACTGCTATTCAACCGTTCTAAAGTTCTCTGTGCAAGGGAGAGGGGAGGGAAAGAGAAACAAACTGCCAAATCTTCCTCTTTCCCACCCAATCCCCCCACTCCTTCCAAAAACTATTTCTACGGAACAATAGGAGAACATGAGGAACTGAGGCCCAAATGAGTGGGCTGAGAGATATGTTCTGTTTTAATACTACAATTGTTCTTACGACAATTTTTAAAAACTTAAAATGGGTCTGGAATACTGCTATTGACCAAGATAATTATTGTTACTATTGTCATTACTATTATCGTCCTTACTGTTATAAGGTGCCGTTCCCCGTTCTGCCTGTGATGGCTGAGGTGGCGCTCTTTTGCATTTTAGGCAATGTATTTTCATAATTTTGCCAGTAGCGTTAGTCGATATAATCCCATAAAAATGTTATCATGAGATTCATGACTATAGGTCAAACTATGACACCATGGTGTCTGACAATTTAGAATGTATATTAATATAATAAAACTATATTGTTACTTCCAAAAATACATAAAAAAAGATATATTTAGTTTGATGTTCAAAATGCTTTACATATCAAGGTTTTTGTCTAGTCATAAAACCACCACATTTACTTTGCCCTCTTGTTTTTGGTATAATATTATGAAATTATGAAGATTTGACTGATGTATGCTTCAGATTGACATTGAGGCCTAGATTCAATCTGGAGCGTGGAAGATCTGCGTTATAGCACGATTGGCATTTAAAGACAATGTTCCCACATTCACGGTAAACACTGCATTCACAGTACACAATGCATTTATCAGCTGAATTGGAAATTACCTCTCAATGTCAATTGCGCTATTAACGCAGATATTCTGCATTCTGGGTTGAATCTAGCCCTGAATATATTTTTATGCAAGAATTTCTCTGCCATCCAAGTTCCCTCTCACTTTGAGGCAGCCTGTGTATAAAGCTGTGAATATACTTATCACTTTAAACCTCACTGTGTGGCAGCCAAAGTTAGAGTCACTACATTGTCATTGTTCACATTCTTTTATGCAGTTGATGACAAAGACGTAGCTATTGTGCCCTGGAAATGCCCATGAGACAAATGGTATTGTGAAAAAGATGCATATGATTATTCGCATCAATTTTTTTCTATTATATACATTTCAACAGTCATTATGGAATATTAAAGTAGTATTTTATTTATCTATCTACTCATTTAAACATAAATTTATGTCAGGGCTATTCAACTGAGGGGTCTGCAAAATTCCCAAAACGTGATATTTTCCCCCCTATATTTTTATATTGCCATCAACAGAATAAACACAATTTGAATTACATACCTACAGTGGATAAGAGGAGAATACCTTCTAATTATGTCAACTTTATTTCTCAACTCCTAATATTGAGCAAATTACACTCATTGGAGCCAATAATGACACCGGAGTGTCTGACATAGGCTTTGAAAAAGTACACGCGTATAGGTTTCCAGTGCGGTGAGTGCTGCTGGCAAGCTTTCTTGACTTGGACATACATTTTTGGCAACACACAGCTAACCTTTTTAACCAGCTAAACAGCTGCTCTTAGCAAAATTGTATCTGGAGTTAGCCTATTAGCTAGAAAGGTATGTTAGAGTTTACACTTCCTCTTCCAACTATGTGGGGAGGTAAAAATAATGACAAAATATCTACCAAATCTATTCATTTTTAAATGTTGATTACTTCACCTTTCCATTACCAACCACCTGATAAGACTAGACGTGATATTTTTTCTAACGTATGATGGGGTCCCTGGGCAAGGAAAGGTTGAAGACCCCCGATTTGTCACTTTCACAGGAATTATACTAGTATTAACCTATTTTCACCTTGCATTTACAGTTGGATTGGGTGCTTTCAGCTTAATCTGTTAAGACATTTTCCTTTCTTTATCACTAAAATCAAATAAGGGCTCTTCCATTACCTCTAATTACTACTCAACACTTCACCTCACTCTCATGCCATGTTTGAGTCCTAAAACACATATCCCCCAGCAGTGGGCGGGTATTGGCAGGTAACACGCATGAGCGCTTTCCATCTCACTCCGATCTGAAGGAAGAATGTGAGGCCTTCAGATCCTTGTCCTTATGAACAGACGCTACACATTTAAACTGTTTACACATGCAGATAAAAATCGGTAATTTTCAGTAACTTTTTTTTACCAATCAGATCAGCTCTGAAAAAGATCTGTGATTGGTCAAATGACCAATTGCGGAATAAATATCAGAATTGGGCTGCCTGTGTAGACAGCATTAAATGAGCAGAGTTCAGGATGGGGAATGAGGTTTATGTGACTGCGATGCTGGTGATCAAGTTTATACTAATACAAGTGATGTAGCAATAAGGACGATGAAAATAATGCTAATCTAATTATGGTTTAATATGTACAAAATCTAATCCTAAAGAATCTGTCTTCCAAATAATGTTTCAAATGAAGGTACAATGTTATTTAACTGAAGTGCTTTCTATACTGCTTGTTCCATTCCCTATGGAAGACCTCGTCGTATGTCCTCCAGTCATCACCTCCCTGCAGAAAGCCCCCTACATATCTGCTGCACTGTGAGACTATGTACTGTTCAGCTGGTTTACATTCACTGCATTATGCAATGGGTTCATTATCACAATCTTAGAATATCAACAGGGAATGAATGCCTGTTCCTGCTGCTTTGACAACCTTACCATTTACTTGTGTTGGGTAAATGTGGCAGAGAGAGAAACTTGTTTTGCAGTGTGTTTTTCCCCCACCATCTCATAGCAGGATTGAGGGTGTATAATTACGCTGTCAGGAGAGGGAAGGATCTGGCTGTATAGAAAGCACAATCTTGTTTCTTTTAAGAGAATCTTTTAAACTGATGAAAA